TAAAATTTCTATGAACTGGTACACGGCTATAAGTTGAACTGATCCGATCTTTAAGATTTTCACTGCAATCTTTCTATTGATTGTAAGTGAGAAGGGTGCAAAATTTCATATTTATCGCCGCTTAAGTGAACGAGTTACACTGGAAAGTTCCATATCTCAACATTCAGTTGTATTCAAATTTACATACACTTAGAAAAAAAATAAACCAGCTTGCTTCAATGTAAATTTATATACATATATGACTTGGCGCCTAGCGATCTTTTATTTACTTTAGATAGATTTTCTTTTGGAGATTTTTTCGTTTGAAGGCGCTTTTTTTCTGCACTTCGTAGAAGCATTTTCATAGTTCAGGGAAATGAAACGAAAATCAGAAATAATAAGAAACTTTTATTTATGGTTTTTATATGTTTTCTCTGGCGGCATACAAACCTGACATCCTCTGGAGGCTAACAAATAATAGCTGGCAAATCTACACATTCAGCTACAGCCCAAGAAAAATTGTCGTATAAATTGTCGTATGTTACATTAGACGATTTTTGAGAAATCGTGATTTATCAAGTTTCAAGAATTTTTTAAGGTATTTTACTTTTATATTTCATTATTAATTATTTTGGAGTTTGTGAATGATTTTCTTTGGTAAAATTACTGTATGACATGCGATAAAATTTTACTCAGCTTCTGGGAACCTAAGGGTGATTTACTAAACGGATAGTTATAATAAATAACGGACAGTTGAGAAAAAATTTCAAATTGAAAACAAATTTCTTTAAAAATACTCTTTCTATTAAAAAAAAAATGCTGAAATCTATTTGAAAAAATCATGTTCCTTGAAAAAAAAAGAGATTAATACCACATTTGATCTCTTGATATGGAACGAACTGATCGATTTTGTTCAAGCATGTCCTATGTTCCCCTTTATACCTGAATGAGTTCACTGAGAAAAAAATCAACCAAAAACTGGTTAATATTACCAAATTCAAACTTGAAAAGAAAATCAACGTGGATTTTAGTTAATCTTAACAATGCCCTGGGTGATATTTTCAACAATGATTTGGTTAATACAACCACATTTTTGTTTACACTAAAAAATTTTTTTGTTACTGTTTTTTTCGCTTGAATACGCTTATGTTCTGCACTTCACAGATGCTTTTTCATAATTCGGAGATACAAAACACAACTTGGTTAAATCGCCCCGTGAATTGTCTACCGAATTTTATCTTTATTCTGAGAAAATGCTGCCAAGTTCCACTTTTAATAATTGGATATCTCCTAGCGAAACAAGAACTTCACCTTAATGCTTTGGAAGGCATTACAGACTTCCCGTCTGTCCGCTCCCCGTTCTGAAGTTTCCGCTTTTTTTCCCGATCGAGCAAAGTAAGATAACCTTTGACGGTAATACTGCATGCATTTTATTATTTTTTACCACGTTTTTATGAACTCGCTTTCTTGTTTCTGTCCTGATTTCAGTCAAAACTTTGCTGTGTGGTTAAAGTATTTGCGATAGTAAAAGTTTGCTATAAAAGGTCTCAACTAAGGCACACTGCGTAATCTTTGCCATTGGTCTTAGATAGGTCTAAAAAGTGATAAAAATGAAATAAAAAAAACTTATTAATATACCACATTTCTATAAATTGACTAAAAAGTAGAAAATAATTTTCCCTAGACCCTTAGAATTCGTTCCGAAAAGTTTTGATTTTAAAATTTTTGGCAAAAGTCATTACAAAAAAATGTATGACATCTAAAATGTAGAACGTGGGGCGCATGTAATATGTATCTAATATATAGTATATATTTTTCTTTGTAAAACACGCAGTAAAAGCTTTTTCGTGGATTGCTGATTTTTTATCCAGTCCACACCTAAGCAAAAATACAAAATTATTTTCATTAAACAGCAGTCAATTGCAATTTAGAAATAAATACCTACATACATACATACATACATACATATGTGTGTGTGCAATGTGTACCTATTTATTTGAATTGACTGTTTTCTAAATCGTAGATAAGTAGTTACTCATTGCCAATCGTATGTATGTATGTATGTCCTCGCATGTCCCTAGTCAGTCAAATTATACCCAGATAAGCAATTTATCATAATTCGAGTACCCCACTGTCATGCTGTCAACCGACAGTATTTGTTTTATATCTCTCTGTCATATTTATTCATATTATCGCAGATAACCTGTTATCAAACAGCTAATGTGTCTAATAGGCGCTTTGGCAGATATTGAATACAATTTTCATCGACAATTTGACACTCACAGTCAAGGATGGCATGTATGTATATATGTATATCTATGAAAGTTTTAGTGTATCGAGTTATAAATAAATATAAAACATTCACTTGTTTTTAGCTACACTATAGAGCAAAAGTGAACATTCATAAGTATAGATATAATGAAGCATATAAAAAAAACATGTTTTCGGGGTCTGTTTGTTTTATGATTCACTACAAAATTGTTTATCACACGCAAGAAAAAATACCAGCTTTCAAAAATAAAACCACGAAATTTTAGAAATAAAAATATAGTAAAAATTTTCATTATGCTTCTGTTTACCGTAACCGTAGGTGCGGTGAGTACTATTTTGCTCTTTAGTGTACATTACTATGAACTTGGTATGTCCATCTCGGAATTACATATGTATGTGACGGCAGCTATTCTGTCCGATTTGAAGCTTAGTAACTTTTGGTAGTAATTTACCGTTATTTCCATCTTTCAACTCTGTGAGATTGTCATTTTATTTTTTGCGCTACATATTTTCCAACGTTCACTCTGGTACAGGGCAGGATTACTAGCACCTCTAACTTTATATCTATGGGTCATCTGGCAGTTTTTTCCATTCTTTTTATTTTCCGTACTTGACCCGTCTGCGTACCAATGATGCACATACACACATATCTGGGATGGAGGTGGGGAGCTCATTTGTACAGATTTGCCGTTTTGGGTTTTCAATTTCTAAATTTCTAGCTAAAGGACACTAGCCGAGAATATAAATGCCGCATCTTTCTTACTCCGGGTTTTTCCTAAAATATCTGTCAAGGCTGCTACTACTACTGTTAAAAAAATTATGGGAGCAGGGTCTATCCTTACAAACAAGTTCTCGTTGATGCTGTAAACGAGAGCAAAGTCAACCATTAGGGCGCCAGCAATCTTGCGGTATATTCACTCTATTAACTATGGCTTTCCTAATAGTTTAATCTAAGTGGGAGTTCCAACCCAGCCTCTTATCAAGGCGACGGCGTGGCTCGGCGGCATACCTCTACTTCACATGCATGACCATTTTTGTAATAAAATTTTTTTTATTCAAAATCGGCATCCGGATGTTTTTTCCGCACAACACTGTATGTATTTCACATTTTTTCTCGCAAATATGAAAGTAAATTTATGGTTTGACATAAATTGATAGTGTCTAACCCGCTCAGATGTGTGTAAACTTTTTACCTTCTGTAGACGGAGCACGTGTGCATAGTAAAATCTCCTCTTCCGCACAACTTCAACTCCTTCCATAATCAGTTAAAAGCAGGGACGGTAATCATTATGAGTAAAATTATTTAAATCAGCATTTAATCATTATTTTAAGATTTTTATATTTTCCGCTCAAAAATAATAATTATTATTGATTTTTATTTTTTCGCTCAACGGAAATGATTGTTTTTTGTTATTTTATGGCCTTATAACAATTATATTCAACAATTTTTATTGAGCTTGAGGCCGTTTTTTTTAAATCATAAATAATGATTATTTTATGATTTTTATTTTTTCGCTCAGAGATAATAATGATTATTTATAAAATTGAAGGGGCCATACAGACGGAACTTTACTGAAATTTTGACCTGAAAATTTTGGGACTTATTCCTTTTATTAGGGTGTCGCTACCTCTGAAAAGGATTCCACGGAAATCACGCTGGCGTAGCTTTTGAGTTTTTTTTTTTTAAAGATCATTATTTTAAGTGGAAAAACGAAACTCCATAGTAATAATTACCTTTGATCGAAAAATTAAAACTTTATTGATTAAACTCGAAAAATAAAACCCATTGTAAATTACAGTAGGACGTACGAACACAAATACGTGAGTTTAGTTGAAACTGCTTTACGACGATTACAACTTGTTGATTTTTTTGGCTAAAATGTAAAAAATAATGATTATTTTCCATCCCCGGCTAAAAATCTAAGGATAAAACTTCAATCTTGTCTGCTTAAAAGAACTACCTCTCCAATAGCCAGCCCTACGTCGTAAAATATATATATATATATTCTAAGTCAGTAGCCAGTAAATAGAAGTCAAATAAAAACCCTATTGCTTTTGGGCAATTACGCTACGCACGACCGAGGTATAGGGCCTTATGCATAAACAATTTAAATTTTTTTTCACAATTGCATTTTTAAGCTTTGTGTGTCAACAGCCACAGCCGAACAGTTCTCAAAAGCGGAAAGAATCGCCCGCGTTCGGCTACGACAGGTTTCACTTTAATATTGGAATAAGCAATTTTTGTTTATAATTTGGTGAGGGTTCTGCTTTTATGGCTCTATGTAACTTTTAGGTGTGTTATCTTCCGTTCTATGTATACGTACGTATTTATGTGTATGTATGTATGCCCTAGTAAACAAAATATAGCTTTACGATAATGGCGTTATCGCTCTAATACTCGTCTAAAAACACTGCCAGGATAATCTTACCACTTGAAGAGACTCTCAATTCACGACTAAAGCTTCCATTGAACTCCTCGCAGCAACAAATTTAATTTCACCAGGTAAAACGTTGCAGTTCTCCCGCTCGGAATCAGGTATCCGATAAAGTACATTTAAATCACCAACAAGCGTAGATCAAGTGATTTTTGCGAATGACCTAATTGCGAAGGGCTATTGTGATTTCTTAATGGATCTCAAAACATTTATTTTTTTTTGTCTTTAGTGTTGCCTTTAGCTATAGCAAAAGTCATTCCAACAATCAAATTTAGATTTTGTCCTTAAAAATGTATTTTCTTCCTTTGTTTGCAGATGTCGGACAGGTGAAGTGCGAAAAGAATTACGAAATCTGTGAGGGTTGCGGACAAAAGATCTACGATCGGTATCTCATGAATGTCGGCGAATCGAATTGGCATGAACACTGTTTGTCGTGTTGCTACTGTGGCATACAGTTATTCAATACCTGTTACGTACGCAATTCAAAGCTTTACTGCAAACTCGATTACGATCGGTAGGTAAAATTGCGTTGCTTAATCAAATTCTGCAAATAGTCCTATTAACTAAACTTAATACATACATACATATACTACATATACAGTTGAAAAAAAACCGGTATTTCCCTCTTCTCTACCATAGATTGTTCAGCATCAAATGCACTGGATGTTGCCACCCGATCCTGCCTCATGAAATGGTCATGCGGCCGATTCCATCTTTCATTTTCCACCTGCCTTGTTTCATCTGCTACATCTGTCGACTGCCTTTGCAGAAGGGCGAGCAGTTTTTGTTGCGTGATGGCCAGTTATTTTGCTGTCGACATGACCTCGAAAAGGAAATATTTCTGGCCACAGCCCAACACTGTGGCTATGTGGGTCTAGACGATGACGATATGATGCGGCCTCGGGACGGACGTCGCGGTCCAAAACGTCCTCGCACAATATTGACGTCACAGCAGCGAAAGCAGTTCAAGGCTTCTTTCGATCAATCGCCGAAGCCCTGTCGCAAGGTGAGAGAAGCTCTGGCGAAGGACACGGGCCTGTCAGTGCGCGTGGTGCAGGTGTGGTTTCAAAATCAGCGCGCCAAAATGAAGAAGATTCAGCGAAAAGCGAAAAACGGTGGTGGCGCAAGCGGTGGCAGTGGCGGTACAGTCAATTCGCGCAGCGGCGATGAAAAGGATGCGAATAAGGATGAAAAGGAGATTAAGCAGGAGTGTGGCATTTCGGGTGTGGAAAGTGCTTACTTGAGTTTGGGTGACAGCGGTTTTGGCAGCCAACCACTTAATCCCAATCTACCATTCTCCCCTGATGGTAGGCCCCCAGAGTTATGGCAAACTA